GGGTTACGCTTGCGGTTGATTGCGAATTGATGCTTACGCAACCTTGTACCAAGACGTTTGTCTGTTTCACCAATATACCTTGTATCGCCGTTCGGGCATGGTATGGTGTAGACCATGGCTGATTGTTCTGTTGATGGTAGCGGGTCTTTGGGTCTCATGATCTGCTGTCTGATGGTTGACTCCGGCTTATGGGTCACACCGATCCTGAATGGTTTCAGGATTCTTAGAGTCGCCTCTGATACGTTCTTCACATAAGGGATTGGGAGCCAAAACTTAGCGTCTTCTCCTTTCGACCGCTCAAGGTGGGACCCCTTAAGACACTTACGTACGAAGGACTTCGGATAACCGTTGGCTTGAAATAGGGCATACAAGTACTTAATCTTCTTCTCCCCACTGTCGTAGTTGCATTGTGTCTGAACGCTTTGGAAGAGGGTTCTAACACAACTGCGTTTGTGACCAAAGGGTAGTTGCTTCTGAGGGGTGGGTGTTCAGTTAGGGGTTAAAGAGAAGGTCGTGGCAGGTCGCACCATTTTCCTCGTACAGGTGGTGGTTACGTCTAGCGTCCTTAACCGGTACATAGCTCTCACTTGTGGCTCCTCGGAGTTAGGCTCTGCGTAGCGGCCACACCCCGGCAACCGCCTCGATCGGCGGGCGAAACTAAATGAGGGTATCCGGTATGTGTCCTCCCCCACATCCGGTGTGCCCCCACGTAGCAGTATTAATTATAACAGTAGACGTAGTAGGCGGAAAGTACATAGCTAGTTACCATATTCCATAGACACAAGAACAACACTAGAAACATTTTTCGTATTCCCGTAATCATTCCAGTAATACTAGAAGCCACAGTAGGCTGCCAGTAGTATTAGTCGTATTATTCCTTTACTCTCACTTATTTCTTGCTATTAGCAATATGATTAGTAGTTACAGTGCTCAGCCCGCAAAAATCGCAAAGCTGCCACTACCATAAAGGCAAATAACGTCATAAATCTGCCCATTTCTGCTGATCTACGCTCCCCCACACAGGGAAAACCTACTCGCCAAAGCCACTGCAAGGATAAACCCAGAGTGTTTCTGTTCTACACAATCATTTTAGATGGAAATGAGGTAGATGGTAGGCTAATATTCTCATCTGTTGGGCTTATTGCACATATTGCGTGCTTCATTTTTCTCCCTCAGATATTAATACAATATTGGAGCACCATGCAACTATGCTTGTCTAAGTAAAGAGTAGGCTGCGCCCCTATTTAACGGATGATCTGCCGAGTAGGTTCTCTTAAGATCAAACACATTCAAACCAGACAGATGTGTTACGAAGGCAGCCCCATCGCCCCTAGATACACAAAAGTCAAACAGATGCATAGAACCTGTTCAAGGAGTCTAGGGTTTCTAAGGGGACACACCCGCCCCCGCAAGACCAGCAGCCATTGGCTATTCAAAACACAATCAGGGTGTCCGATCGAAACAACGCTTTATGAAGTATGTAGATCGATAGACTTAAACTGCTAGATCGCTCATGAAGACCTCCAATCTGCCGTACAGTCCGGCATAGCCTGCCTGCCTGTATCTACTGATCTGCAACCCGTACAGAGACCGCGTGTTCGCAGGACAAGTCGGTGTCTTACACAACTACCAGGTGAAGACAAAGAAACTTGTAAGCTCATATTCCCATTTGCTCTGCCTATTGCTTATCACTCAGCTATTGACACATCTATATCAATGCTAGTTTATTCTGGAGCAGATTGCTCTCCTATTAGACAGGATGCGTTCCATAGACCTCAAGATGAGTTAGATTCTGTAGTAAGGTAAAAAGTTAGCCTGAAAACGGCATATGACACCATGCGACATAAAGGCATGATACAACTTGGGATATTACTTAATAACGTTTCGTTAAACCATAAGTTGACACAGTCTGGTGCACATAGTTGAGAAGGCGGAAACCGAGGCAGGCCCTCATGTGCTCCGAGCCTCAAAACATGTATTTATTCGGAATCGAATAAACCCAGACTCACCCTCCTTATTGAGATTGAAGGGATTAGAGCCTCAGCGTTGACTTTTAATCAGCGTCAACTGTTACAAATGCGAACAGCAGAAATAGTGCCAGTATTACTAACACTCAAATACGTTGCTAGTTAGGATTATTTAAAAATAGTAGTGGCAGTAGTCGCAGTAATAGTGGCACGGCAATTATTATAGGACTTTTCCGAAAATTGAAAGACTGTTTTCCCGTAAGAAATCCGAACAAGGCAAAGATCACAAGCTTAGCAGGATGTATTGGCATCATATAATTTCGTGACCTCTTATTCAACTCAAACGTTCGTTGCCTCTTAATAAGATAATCACCTATCCAATTAATGTCAACCTAAAAGGGTGAACGTGAAAAACGAAGGCTTCGTAGCAAGATTGAAAAAAAACTTACTCTGCCTCTAAATTGTTGTACGTAAGTGCAACAACGGCTATTCTAGTTAGACCGACTAAAGACATTCTGCTACATAAAACAGTGTTTGCGAGTTTACATGTAGTTGCGGATGCAAATACATCGGCTACGCAAAAGCAACTGGCAACCCAGTCAGCTGAGCATATGCCGAAGTGGTTGCTCAGGACGGAAAATAAAATACCTAAGAGTTCAATCACTAAGCCCCTAGTGGGCACTTGCCATATGGTCGACCAAAAGACTGTGTATAGGATCGTATTTCGGGTGATGACCGGGCGTGTCTTATGATTTGCGGGGGCTGCTGCAATACGGAGAAGAAAACCAGAACTCTGGGAGCAGTTGACGAATGTGATCAATCTCGCATTGCCGTGGTAATGATCAATAAACTCATTCACTCTTACGCCTCCTCGCCCTCCGTAAGGCTGACTGCTACCCTTTTCTCTGCTCCCCCTTTAACCACGTCCCACAGACCTTCATGTACATCAACTAACATGAACGGTCATGCTGCTTCTAGTCTTTTTACCTATAAACTTTCACCCTTCTAGGTTGCCACTTGACTGGATGGTTAATAATCCTATTAATAGGCAACGACCGTTTGCAGTTGAATAAAAGGTCGCAAAATTATATGACGTCGATAAATCCTGCTGATCCCGTGATCTTTGCCTTGTTCATATTACAGAACTGTTTCTATCGCAGGCTACCGGACACAGCTAAAAGCACTGATAGATGAAATGTTCGATTTAAAGGCTATTGCGCTTGCTGGATTTTCCTTGGTCGCTCTCGGTCGCCCAAATCACGAGGGAAGACGGTACCCTGCGACTGTGCGTTGCAAATCGCAAGGCAGATACTGTAGTAAGCCTGCAGTTAGCTTATAGACGGCAAGCGGCACTATGTTGTGACCTAAAGTCATGGCAAAAACTTGAGTCATCATTTGATATTATTTCTCTAACCCACAAGATTATTATTATCTACCACATACCGTATACTGGGTGCCAACTTCTTACAAGTACACACAGGCCGTATTACAGTACACTATTTACTGGTCTTGGAACAAATGATCATTTTAATTAGCACTTTTGATGTAGGCACACTACGTCTGGCAGCAGTATCCTCATCTTCGTAGTCCAAACTGAATAGAAACTGCCACAGTCTCTTGGATAGAGCTGAGTGGATGAAAACCAAGCGAAGCCCTGTTGTGCTCCGGGCTTAAAACATGTGCTTACTTGGAATAACATAATCCGAGGTTCAAAATTCTTGTTGAGATTGAAGGGATATGAGCCCTGCGCTGACTTTAATTAGCGTCACGTCTGACTAATAATAGCGCCAGGAATAGTACCACTACTAATGCCCTTCAGCTACACTCCTAGTTAGTAGTAGTAGAAATAGCAGTAGTAGTAGCAGCAGTACTGGCCTTGGTTTCCTTGAGTCTGTCTTGACACCTACTGAAAGTGAATGAGGGTAAATAGTATAGTATTACCAGCGCAAAAGACTACTGTCGCTTAAGACTAAGTAAGACGGTGTTCTAGTCTATATAGGAGAAAGCGGCCTACGTCCAAGCCCGTTCGGTCATCTTGACTGTGTCTTGTCACCGGTTCAAACGGGTGAGAGTCTAGCATGAGGTACACGGCTGCGCGTCTATTTCACTTAAATCTCGTCTCTGACTTCAGTCACCGCCCCTGCTCCTGAGCACATGGTGGACTTCATCGAAATCGATGGTCGAACTGTCATCATCAGTAGTTGCAGTACTGGTATCACCATCAATACGGCTAGTGCTCATAATACTGGTTATTATTATATTATTATTTTTACTTTTGTTTTAACTGGAACCTATTATCAACAATATTGTTAATATCACTAGGAGTACTATAATCACTAACGCTACACTACTCCTGCAACATTGTATTAATTGTCAGTATCATTAGTATTGCGGATATCACGATTAGTATTAACAATATTTTCAGTTGGTGCAGTACTGTTATCATCCTTAATAGCACTCATTTCTGTACTACTAGTCTTTTCGTAGTGGATTTATCATCAGTAGTCTTACGAATGTCATCATCACTAGTATTCAACTTTTCATGTAACGTTGAATTAATTGTACTATTGTTCTACTGTATTTGTCTGATATTCTGTTACTTGTTATCTGTTATCTCCTTTGATATTTCCGTTTTTGTTGTTTTGTTTTATTTTATTACCATATCTGCATTATCCTGTTAACATAACTAATTAGCATTCCTAGCTTACCGGTACTTGCAGTCTTCTATTACCAATATAAATAGTAATAACATTGTCATTACTAGTATAGAATTTGTATTGTCAATAATGTTAGTGACATTACAAGCCGTAGCAGTAGTACTCACAGCAATTAGGCACTCTAACACTAGAATTGGTGTCACTTATATTGGAAATATTGCCTCTACCGCCACTACTGCTACTACGATACGTACTGCTGCTCCCACCCCATTCTCCCCACGGTCTAAAATGTCCTAGGGTGAGGGTGACATACAATAAGGTAGGCGAACCGAACTATAGGGTCGTTCTTGCACTAAACCCATAAACGTGGCCCATAGTGGACTTCGGCAGCCGTTCGGGATGTCTAAACAGTCATATCTGGAGACAGCACTACTTACCCTTGCAAGGGGGGACGAGCTAGATAAAGTGTTCGAAATGAATGCTGGGTCATGACTTCTGCTAGCGGACCGTGGTTGAGAGACTGCAGAAACCGCGGTCGAAACAGTCAAAACGCAAACCAAATTATTTCTCGTCCTCAGCCCTTCCCCTTCCTCTCCCATCTCAAAGGACAGTTCAGGGTTTTAGGGTAAGTCCCATTACACTAGCAACTTCGAATGTCCGCTCCCTCCTCGATAACCCGAAGAGCAACCAACCGGAACGTAGAACAGTGCTGATCGCCTGAGAACTGGCACGCTTCAAGGTCGACATCGCCGCACTCAGTGAAATTCATTTCTCCGATGAAGGCTATGTAGAAGAGGTGAGTGCCGGTTACACCTTCTTCTATCGTGGCCGTCTGAAGGCAGAACGACGTGGGGCCAGCGTCGCCTTTGCCATCCAGACCGACATTGTGGGACGTC